GTGTGTGTGTGTGTGTGTGTGTGTGTGTGTTCCGTGCGTTTCATGTGAATAATCTGGAAACAAAACGAGTATCATTTGGAGATTAGGGAGTCTCTAAATAAATACTGGAATTCTAATAAAGGCTGAATATTTATTTCGCTTATGCTTTCATTCCAGCTCCGAATTCATCCTATGTCCGAAAGGCAAAATCCGGACGAATGCGAGCGAGTCCTACAGTGCATGCGAAGTCGAAGAAAAAAGCGTTAATCAAAGGACTTGGTAAGAGTAGAGTCAGAACCGTGTCAACACTGAAAAAACAAAACATATCCAACGACTTTGGAAACAAAAAATGGGTGGGCAAAACTTCACACTGTACCGAATTAGACATGCAGACTTCGAAAAGAGTAATGGGGGAGGAGTCAGCTTTGACAGACACAAAGGAGAAGAAAAGAAAGAAGCGGCGAATGAAACGAGACAAGATGAACGTTCAATCAGCGTCTCTCTTGAGCCCTGGCCTGAGTCACTCAATCTGGAAAGATATGAAAGACGACCTCAGACGATCCAGCCCTCACTCCTCTCGACGCATGCGTAAAACGCCTGTTTCTCCAGCCATAATCCAGGCTCACGCCTGTGGACCTCCTTGCCCGAGTAATGTCAGCGGACAGGATGCTCCCGTGGAGTGGCCTTCTCTAAGCGACGCATACCGTCTGAAAGGTCTGGTTAAAGACGCTGCGACAGAAATCGTTAAAAACAAACAAAGCGGTTCCGTCACTCGAATGACGAGGCAAAGGTGGGCTGATATTGTAGCTTCAAGATCAAAAGAAAAAATTCCATTTCAAGAAGTCACTAAAGATGGGAACAGCTTGCGCTTAGAACCCCCACGGCAGAATACGTGGGCGGCTGTTGCTGCTTCTTCGTATGCTAAAGCTCAAAGTCAGATACCTCCAGAAACAGCCTCAGCTTCACAAAGGGGTCCTGTAACAGAGGCGAAACCAACTGCTCTGAATGACCGCTCTTCCAGAGAGTCACTCACAAGATCAAGGCGAAGAAGAAAGAACATGTCCACTACGTATAGAGATAAACTGTTAGGAGGGTGTGTAAAAGGTAAGGGAAAACCTCAGTCCTTATCATTTTACAGAAGGCTTGCGATGGAAGGCAGGCGAGGCGCAAAAATGCGGAGGAATAAGAAGAGACAAAAGAAGAAGGCCTGTACAGCTGTTCATGACAATACGCCCTCCGACATGGCCCCTGACAAAACTGTCGTTGTCCCTAAGGTGGGTGCACGAGAGGAAGTTAACCCCGTCAAACGTAGGGAGGCCACCTCCAGAGATAACAATGGTAAGCAGGCCTGGAGTATTGACAACATGCCCGTGGTATATACTAAACCAGCCAGTAGCGTCATATCACTCAATGAACCACAGCTGAAAGTGAAGAGGCACCGCAAAGGTAACAAGAATAAATGCAATAATCGCGATTTCAGCTTGGCAGATTTTATTACTTCTGCAGCAAAGAACAAACGCAGACAAAAGGATGAAAAACCTGAGAGGAAGAATGAATCCTCCGGAAGCGACCTGTGTACTCTTCTCAGCAGTATCTCATTCCACTCTGAGAAGAACCTAGAAGACGGTGAGTGCAGCTACTCAGAGAAGCGGACAAGAAAAGAACAGAAAAGCTTGCCATGTGTAGAAAATACATCTCCGCATCAGCTCAAGAGGACGAAGCAAGCTAAACGGCACAACAAAGCAGATGGTGAGACAAAAAAGGTGTCTCTCAGATACAGGGCCTTGCTACACCGAGAAGAAGGGCGCCTTGACGTCAAAGCCGTGTCGGAAATACACACGCGAAACAAACGAGCTGAGGCCCTGTTAGGGAACAAATGCTCAAATAGAGATAAGGTGAAACTACAAAGACAAGAGCGGCAACACAGATCTCACAATGAACAGCGCTCCCCAACTCAGACATCCATTAACGTGACCAAAAATAACGAGCCTTCTCAAGCAATTAATCATTCCGAAGCTCAAGGAACGTCGAAGGACTTTACGTCCAGCTGTACAAATACTGTTAGGAAATCAAAGGCTTCTAATGACAGCGTGGAGGGTACAGGACAGATGTGTACTTCAGACAAGAGAGACGCCAACAACTCTTTCGTCCAAATGTGCAGCAACGGGGGCTCTTCGGCTTCCTTCAACCTGCTGCCCATTGCCAGCGACTTCGGTTTGTATTTTTGGGGTGAAATCAACTGTATTTTCCCAAAACAATTGAAATGGACTACGTTCAACAACCCCCGCCTCGAACGCTTTGTACCTCTATCTCGTGATCTGTTTCCCCTTTTCTCTCTCTCTCTCTCTCTCTCTCTCACACACACACACACACACACACACACACACACACACACACACACACACACTCACTCTCTCTCTCTCCCTCTCTCTCTCTCTCTCTCTCATTAACTCTGTTTATCTCTCTCATTAACTCTGTCTATCTCTCTGTCTATTTATCTATCTGCTTATCTCTTATTGTCCGTTTTCTCCTTTCTCTACTACAAATTTTTCATCTGAGTTATATCTCTTTCTCTGGTGAAAAATGGTATAGGTTTAACACCCCTATCAACACTATTAGATTATTTATACGGTGGGACCTCTGATTTTAACCTCCGATTTTGTGTAAAGTGCCTTTCCTGAGAATAAAACGTCAGACCGAGCAGAGGCTTGAACCCCCGAATTTCTTTATCTGTCTCTGCCTGTGTCGTTAAATGTCACAATAGATAGATAGATAGATAGATAGATAGATAGATAGATAGATAGATAGATAGATAGATCGCCCACTGAGAACTGTAAGAAATAATGGAGACAATGAAGATGTTGAGACGGGGACAAGAAAGGAGACATTCTGATGGAAAGCTGGACAAAAATTCAGAAAGATAGAGGCAACGCTGGTGATTTGCAGAGTTGCATAATGGCAGTGAAACACTCTCTCCTTGTGTAACTGGAAGAAACAAATCAACTTAATTTTTTGTATCCCAAAGCCGTTGAAGAGGTCCGCAATATAAATCAGGAGTCAGCGTGCAATATAGTATAAACACACTGTGAACTGTTTTTGTGTCTTCTCTTATCATTTATATCAGAAATGTATTTTGTCTATCGAACCCCCCCCCCCCCCCCCCTCGACCCCCCAAGAAAAAAATCAGTTACACAGTTACACGGTTAAAGCAAAACGCCATCGTGGACAGGCAAGCTTCTTAACTCATTAATATCAGCTGTGTGTGCGTGTGTGTGCGTGTGTGCGTGTGTGCGTGTGTGTGTGTTTATGTGTACGTGTGTGTGTGTGTGTGTGTTTGTGTGTGTGTGATGTGTGTGTGTTTATGTGTACGTGTGTGTGTTTGTGTGTGTGATGTATGTGTGTGTTTGTGTGTGTGTGTTTTGTGTGTGTGTGTGTGTGTGTGTGTGTGTGTGTGTGTGTGTGCGTGTGTGTGTGTGTGTGTCATATACAGTGTGTAGAATAACAAGGTAATGGTGGGAGTAGTGTGCTCTGGGGTTGTTGGCGTGTTATTTTGGAATAATAATATTATTTCCTACAGACGTTCCCCTCCCCCTCCACTTCCGGAGCGAGCCAGACCTGACAGTTCGCCCAGGCTTGTTACAGCTGGATGTCCAGCCTGTCCCGACCGACTGCCTGGACATAAAATGGTCAGTTGAATTGTTTCTCTTCTGAATTTGGAACAAACTTCTTTTGTATTTGAATTCAAACTTTTATTTTAGTCCATATATGCCTGGGGGGGGGGGCTTTTATTTTTGTTTCCTCTCTTGTCCGTACAGCAGGTCATTGGAGGGCGCCTCAGGTAGGTACTTTCGCCACGGTGTTTGTCTCTGTTTTGCAATTGCCATGCTCTGAAGAACCGTTAGTGTGCCCTCCAAATACAAAGCGACATAACTGCACTTTTCAATATCTTGAGGAAAAACGTGAAAAATTCTTTACGCTTATTACGTATTATTGAGACTTGTCACCTAGTTATCTTGAAACTTCTTTTTTTTAAACTACCATTTCAGATGTAGCTAAGTCATCCTACCTTTGACACAGGAAGGATATGGGCAAGACTTGTGTAACTGACAAAATTCTTTTTTAAAATTGACATTGTCCGAGACGACATCAGAAGTTCGTCTCGATATTGTCACATTCGTCGCTGTGCCTCACGACGGCAGTACAGAATATGTGTTGCTCTTCTACCTCAAAGAAAGGATGTCGGCGTCGGTAGCCTAGTGATTAGACAACTGGACCCAGAATCGTGCGAATGCGGTTTCGGAAGTCTGAGCCTCAGCTCAGCCCGATGTTGGGTCCTTGGGAAAGGCACTTTATACAAATCTCCAATTTGGCTCGTTCCTCTTGGGGATGGACGTTAAAGACCCCCCCCCCCCCTCCTTAGATGATCTAATAGTGTTGATAGCGGCTTTAAAGCTATACCATTCCATTTCATTTCAAAGGATGCAGTACATAACTTAATATAGTTTTAGTGCGAGGGCCAGTTTGGGAGCCCTCCGGCCCTGGTAACGTTGGTTAGGGCATCAGTCTATTCTGTCTAGAACTGAAGACAATACATGTCTTGATTCTCTGGGGAAAAAGCCACTCGACCGAAGCAAGTTACGTCCAACAACTTATAAATGTAATAGTAATGAAATAAAACAATACTAAGTGTCGGGGGAGGTGATATGTTATTATGAAAGTTTGTATTTCGTTGTTCGCCAGGTGGCACTCTTACCTGTTCCAGCAGACGGGGGGTGATACAGGACCAGAGGAGCCCAGTACCAGCAGCAAACGGAAGCCAATCGATTGATACTCGATTAAACCTGTTCCCTGACTGACACTCGCTGCACGTTTCTTTGAAAAGACGTAATAATTAGGGATCAAAAACAGCACTTTATGAAGACAAAAATAAAACAGTCATCTACAAAATAGTTGCATGGCGTTTTGAATGTCAAATTATTTTATTTCTTATGGTTTATCTGTTTTGTTGATTCTGCTTCTCTAAACTCCATGTGTAAAGTATGATAGTTCCTACCCTTTTTTTTCCTGAAAAGAAAAGACTCTCATATTGTCAAAGTGCCTCTTTTTACTCAAACTCAAACTTAACAAACGTACAAAGACGTTCACCATTGACATTTAGATGTCGATCTATATTTTTTAAAGCATAATCGAAACATCAAGCAGTGAAAGGAAAAAACTCTCTGCTCATAATTCAACGCATGTCCAATTACAATTGTTTCCCCAACTGTCGCCTAAGCAACCCTCGACTGTACAAAACCTGCCTTGGTCTGCGTCATAAATTAATTAATCTTGATACAATTCCCCCCCCCTCCCCTCTTCTCCATTATTGGCATGACGCCATTCAGCTTGGCTTTTAGCTCGTGTGTGTGCTGTCACATACGGGCTCATGCTGCAGTCAGTGACAGTGTCTCTATACGGCAAGATCAATTGTTCTCTTTTTAGTTCCATTTATATTTGGACACTTTTTTTTAAATTGGGTTTGCAGAGAATGTTGAGTTGACGATATTTAAAAGCAATAGTAAAGTCTTATGAGCACTTAGGAAAAAGAATACAATTGTAAGTTATTAGGTTTAATTAAGGCAACAATTCGTATTAGTACTTCAAAGAAGATGAAGTTCCATTAATTTATATCAGTTTGTTCAATTGCTAGGCTCAGCCGTTCATCTCTTGAAACGTTGCTCGCCAGGAGCAAGCGATGACGAGAGTCTGGCAAAGTGGGGTATTATGAGAATGCTATTTAAGTAACATTTTTGTGAAGAGCGAGCTAAGACTGAGATGTTCATACACGTTGTTATCAGGGCAGACAGTGGGCATACTTCAGCAGGGCGTACCCAAAGACGTGATTGGGAGGGAGAAATTGATTCAGATTTCAGAATTATTAAATAAACTATTTTATATTCACTCTTCCAGGTGCAGTTTGTCCCATATAAGTTAGGCATTCCCCCTCCCCCGCTCCCCACCTTCAGATTTACTGTTTTAGAAGCCCTGCAATATAATTAGATTATGTTTCAGCCCTTGTTCCCAAACGTTACAAAGACAGATTTGAAAGACCATGATAATTTTGGAAACTTCTTCTACGCTTTTCAAAATGGATCGTAATATTCATATCCATAATATTCCCTTGTGTCCACGGGGTGGTACCAGAACATTTGCACTTTAAGCATAGCATTTTGTCCACATTCAAGTAATAGAAACATTACAAAACAACAGAAACAAATGACCAGGTTCCATTTATTTTTAATGTCAGGTTGTGCTTTTATGTTCATATGGTCGATATTGATTTCCTACCTTCAGTTACAATGTTGGCTTTTGTTTTGGTTTCATTCCCGTTGTTGCACCGAATAGTTGCACAACAAAAAAATTAACTACACATAAAACAGAATTATATTGCAACAGGATTAAAAATCCAGTCCATTAAATTTGGATATTTCAATAAACGAAAGAGGATAAGTAACAGCGCTGTTACGTCACCTATCGGACTGTTCCGATTTTTGTGCAGGTATGTCACTGTGATGCGCTGTTCTGCTGTTCTAGCTGTTATAGTCATTTGGTTTGTTCGTTGTTTTTTGTTTTGTTTTGTTGGGGGTTTTTTGTCTGTTTTGTTGGGGGGGGGGGGTTTTGCTTTATGGTCACAGTCACAGGACTGGTGACCAGACCATTCTTGGCATTCGGTCTTCCCTCAATTTGTTTATTGATCTAAACATAGTTTTTATTTTAGTTCGAAGAGGACAAAACTGACAATTATTGTGATTGTAAGCCAACAACAAGTGAATGCTTTGGAATCATGATCATGAGAATGAGTACATTGTAGAAAGCAGTACATGTACAAATATGGTGTTGGTGATCTAGTGGTCAGGCTGTTGGGTTCGTAACTGAGAGACCATGGGTTCGAATCCTGTCAGGGGCCAACCCGGTATGTCCTTAGGAAAAGCACTTAATAAGAATGTTCCTCTCTTTACCGGTGGGAACTGGTACCCGGCTTTAGACGGTGAAAGATCTTGTCACGAATAGTATTTAACTAGTTTGGGCGCTTAAACTGCTATTTGAGCTGTATGCTTCTCGGGAAGACGAAAAAATTTCCGGGTGTTCTTGAGTTTACTTGGGTAAAGATAGTATTATTAGCAATCAATAGAGCATAGATATGCACTATATAACTGCAATTATTTTTTTATCATTATTGCTTATCAGTGCCCAGTGCCCACTGAGACTAAACCCCTATGATTGCCAGAACTGCATTATAATCATCTCTATCTCTATTATATTATTATTATTAATAATAATAATAATAATAATAATAATAATAATAATAATAATAATAATAATAATAATAATAATAATAATAATAATAATAATGATAATAATAATAAATAGCATTTGTATAGCGCATATCCCCGCTCAACAGCAGGCTCTATGCGCTTTACACTATATTATTACCCCAGAAGACCATAGAACACTCAGAAACATTCTCAGCTTCCCGGGAAGCATACAGTGCAATCAGCCGAATAAGCGCTCAAACACTAACAATCTGACAAGATCTTTCGCTGTCTATAGCCGGGTGCCCATTCCCACCTGGGTGAAGTGAGGATAATTCGTGTAAAGTGCCTTTCCCAAGGACACAACGTCGGGCCCCTGAAGGGATTCGAACCCTCGACCTTACGGTTGCGAGTCCGAGAGCCTAACCACAAGGCCACCGACGTGAAAGTTCGTTACTTTGGCCACCTAAAAGTTCCAAACCATTTAACTTTCGAATTTGACTAATTTAATGGTGGTTCAGAATCATTTAAAGGGTGCACATTTTTTTTTTGAGGAGTCTGAATTGTAGTTTAATTTTCAGTTTATCATTAGTTTCATTTAGATCTAATTTTTGGAAAGTCTGTCTTCTAAGACGCCATTGTAAACAAGTGAGATTTCCGTTTACTAGCCGTGCGCACTGCTTCCACATCTTTGAAATCCAGGAGTGTACAACCACGAAAGCGAAATAGAGAATCAATCTATACATCTATTATAAATTTGGCAACTTGGAAACACATGTGTCACTTTTTCCATAAAACTAAAACAGCTACGGAGTTGAAAGTTGGCAAGTACCTGCAAAAAAATAGACAGGTTCCCCATGACGGAGCCCGATTTTTTATCTATTCTTTTCCTGAATTTAGAAAAATATATTTGACAAAAAGTTCCCGTCCATCTTTGGCCTTTGTGATTATTCCATTGAGAAACGAAACAAATCTGCGTATCTGTTCTTCACATCGGATGTGTCGAAAGTGATATTTCGCGAGGCGCATTTTTCTTTGAGAGAACAGATCTAGACCTTCTAATTTGTTTGCATCCCTCAAGATTTGTTTCTCCTCTAACTGGGTCCCCTTTCGATGAAAGGAATGATCGGTGCATTAACATCAACCAAAAGTCATTGGCCTTCTATATTTACACTCTACTGGAATGGAGCAATAAATCTTGAAAGAAAAGTGACACATTCATGTGCTTCCAAGTTGCCAAATATATAATAGATGTAGACTCTATAGGTTGATTCTCTATTCCGCTTTCGTGGTTGTACACTCCAGAATTTCAAAGGTGTGGAACCAATGCGCACTAGTGAACGGAAACCTCACTTCCGGTTGTTGTTTTTTAATGAGACTGTGAAATTGTTGATCGAGAGCAAGTCGAAAGTTAGCCTAGGCCTAGAACTCTGTGTAGACGAAACTAAACATTTTGGAAAAATCTGGGAAAGCAGTTTGCGTGGATTTTTTAAAGTTAGGTCCTAGCCACATGGATGCTGTGAACGCCTGCAAAGTTTCAAAGGTGTGGGTTAGGCTATAAGGAAGGAGTTTATGCAGAAAGCCTCCCAAGTCCACTTTTATATATATATATATATATATATATCTATATATCTATCTATCTATCTATCTATCTATCTATATATATATATATATATATATATATATATATATATATATATATATATTAATAGATTCCAGTAGGGTGTAAATGTAGAAGGCTAATGACTTTGAGTTATGTTAATGCACCGATCAATCCTTTCATCGAAAGGGGGCCCAGCTAGTATATTATTTGTGAAAGTTCGCCACTTTGGCCGCCTAAAAATTCCGAAACACTTAATTTTCGAATTTGAAAAAATTAATATTGGTTCAAAATCATTCGAAGGGTGCACAGTTTTATTGAGGAGCTTGAAGTCACTGTAGTTTAATTTTTAGTTTTTCATTAGTTTCGGTTAGATCTAATCTTGGGAAAGTCCGTCTTCTAAAACATCATTGTAAACAAGTGAGGTTTCCGTTCACTAGCCGTGCGCATTGCTTCCACACCTTTGAAATTCTGGAGTGTACAACCACGAAAGCGGAATAGAGAATCAATCTATACACCTATTATATATTTGGCAACTTAGGAACACATGTATCGCTTTTCCCATAAACTACGACAGCCACAGAGTTGAAAGTTGGCAAGTACCTGCAAAAAGATTGATAGGTCCACATGACGGAGCCTGATTTCTGATTTATTCATTTCCTGAATTTAGACAAATATATTTGACAAAATGTTCACGTCCTTTGTTGGCCTTTGTGATTATTCCACTGAGGAACGAAGCAAATCTGCGTAGCTGTCCTTCTCATCGGAAGTGCCAGATTTGATTTTTTGCGCATTTTGTTTTGAGAATATAGATCTAGACCTTCTAATTTTATGCAGAGTGCACATATAGTAGGCCAATGACTTTCAGTTGATGTTAATGCACCGATCATTCCTTTCATCGAAAGGGGGCCCTGCTAGTATATTATACTAATGGAGGTAACTAAAGATGTTATAAACCAACCGGCTCGGGAACTGAATGATATTGAACAGTTGTGACAACACTAAAAAGCAAAGTGCAGTCAACTATCTGTAGTCTTTAGTTTACAGTAATATTCGTAT